ACCACCCTCTCTTTCTCACCCTTTCGAATATTTATTAAGTTAGCACTTGACTCGTATTCCTTGTAAACACCCATGAGAAATCATGAATATGGAGATCAAAACAAAAAGAATAAAGACCTACAAAATACGACTGTTTTTCTAACAGCAGGTGTAAATGGCGGTGTCTTGTTGGGCGCTCATATTCTTCATCTCAATGTACGTGGAGGTCAGTGGCAAGGAATTGAGCCGAGAAGGAGAAGAGATCGAGAGAGAATAGGGGGAGGAAAATAGCAAAGCGATACTGGTAAAGAGACGGAGAGAAAGGGACGAAAAGGCACGTGCATAAACTATGAGGTGGAGAAATGATATACTTGTGTATGGAAAAAATCAAGGGAAATATGGCACAGCGGCGCCAAAACAAATTAGAAGATAAAAATTAAAAGGTGATATATTGAGAGAGAGAGAGAGAGAGAGAGAGAGAGAGAGAGAGAGAGAGAGAGAGAGAGACGGATTAAAATGTGCCAGAGCAACACAACAAACAGGTAGATAGCAAAAAGGAAGAGAAATTTGTTATGATAACGACAAGTACAAAAACAGGAAGGAAATATGACGGAAGCCGGAGGGAAAGAAAAAGATAATAATTTGATATACGGAGAAGTGATATATACAGAGAGAGAGAAAAAGAATAGGAAGAGGAGAGAAATAGATGGACACCAAAATGATATGAAGAATACGCGATACATTGAGAAAAAGAGAAAATGGGGAGAACATTATTTTGACAGAGCAACACAAACAAACTTTTGAAGAGAGAGAGGGGGAAGAACATTTTATTTGAGAAGTAAAGAGAGACGAAAGAGAGGAAAGATGGGCAAATGGCAACGTTAAAGAAACAGGGAAAGATAAAGAGAGATGATAGATAGAAAGAGAGAGCACGAAAAAGAGAGACAGATATATATATATATATAGAGAGAGAGAGAGAGAGAGAGAGGGAGAGAAAGAGGTGCGTGGAGTTGAGGATGGTGGATTCCCATCAGGAATAATTCTGCGAACTATTAGGCCGATATCCGTAGGGTTTGATGCAACAACACAGAGCTCCGATTTCGGTTGACAAATCAGAGCAGAATTAGCATTAACACCAGTCATTCTTTCTCTGTTCGTTTAATCCTTTGGCAATTCGCTCCTCAAAAAAAACAAACCCAGCGAGTTTGATAGTTTAAAATTTTAGTTCCCATTTCCCCGTCTCTAATATGTTCTCTTCTTTAGGCCAAAATGAAAACTATTGTGTTTATTTCATTTGTATAGATTTGAGGTTTGAATATGCAGTCTCCATTTGGGTAGGACTAAGCATGCAGGATTTACTTATCTCACCCTCTCTTTCTCTTTCTCTCTCTCTCTCTCTCTCTCTCTCTCTCTTTCTCTTTCTCTTTCTCTTTCTCATTCTCTCCCTTCTCTACTCCCCTTCTCTCCCCACTCCCTTTCCCTCAACATTCCTTTCACTTTCTCCTTATTTTCCTGCTCGACTTTCTTCCTCTACTTCTCTCTTCCTTTTCTGAGTTTAACTATGATTTTTTCGTCGAATTATTGTTAAATAACGAATTGTAAATACGATTTTTATTAAATTTTGTATCAAATATCTGTAAATCATGCATGCAATTCAGTCATTGGCTGCGATATGTTGATGAATAAATACCTTACCTTACATATTCCTGACCATCACATATGGATATGGTTACCAGTCCTTTCACTTAATAAAGGTATCCATCAAGTGTATACTAAGACTTGTAATGAAGTGTATACCTAAAATGGGCTTCTTTTGATTCGCGATTTCACAATATAGAATACGGATAAAACTCGTTAATAAGTTTGGGTTAAATGCTGATGCCGAAATTAATAGTGGAATTTACATGGATTCTTATCCGTTTACTTACTTTGTATCTTCGGTATAACTTAAGTGGATAACATAATCATGTAGACTCTATAGATTGTTCCCTAAATGCATAGCTAGAAATACGTTATTATAATTATATTTCGTGTGTGATACATACTTATATTCCTATCAACTTCTTTACAAAAAAAAATGCATCAATCATCCTATTGACGGCATCAAACTTTGCAATCGCACTATGTAATAGATCCTTACCTGAAAGTAAAATGCGAAGTAACATTAATTTGTCAAAGTTAAGATCGACGCTTAACGTGATTTGGGCTTTGGGGTAACACTAAGAAGGGTCGACATATTTTGTTATCCGCTCGAGTACTGTACTACCAAACACAGATTCTTTCCGAGTGAATTCTATCCACCCTGTTGTTGACAGACCTAGCAATTAATCATACATAAGCTTTGCCTACATGCATGTCATGGATACTTCTAAGATATATTCTGTTTAGTAGCAACCCACATTGGTTGAGACCTTTCGCGACATTCTCTCTCTCTCTCTCTCTCTCTCTCTGTCTCCCTCTCTCTCAAGAATGGCCTGCTCAAGCAAATTCCCACAGATTACTTTTCCAGTATTATTCATTAGGACTAAAAAAAAAACTAATTCAGCGTTCGATTGTAAATATTGGCTTGAAGTCTAGCTTCTAAACAAATCCATGCGCGTGTACTTACTCCCCCAGTCGCAAGCTAGGCCGGTGGAGAGCGGGAAATAGACAGTCCCTTTGGTGCACGCATCTTATTTGGTTACATCCCCAAAAGCCCGGATGAAATATGGAGAGCGTGTCACCTGCCTGCTAATCTACCACCAATTGGAACTCTGCGGCAAGACGGGTGAAATCACGGCGTGTTCGCACGGCCACGTTTGTAACTTAATCAGTTCCCACCGTATTACATTCATCACTTAACATTTCTCTTTGTAGAATGATTCTCAGTCAGTTTGCATGAGCCTGGTTTTGGGTGAGTCGCGAAATGGCGCGGTTAAGTCTGAAGAGGGTTGATTTTTTTGTTTGATATTGGCGCACGATTGCTAGATATAAGCCCATGACCAGAAGTAATATTTGTAAGTTTTTAGTGAATGATATGTAAATCCATGGGATATCAATCTCTCCCTTCAACCGGTTTTGCAAATCACTTTGAATACCACCACATGATTTATTTGTTATTTGCAGAATACGAGAGCGAAAAGGGCGAAACAAGAATAAAAAACAAAACAAGTAAGACGTAGGCCTGCTCTGATGTCGAGAGAGCTAAGTACCGGACAAAATATTATACATATATTTTTTTTTAAGCGAATAAGTATTAAATCATTGATGGCCATTGTTGTTGCCAGCAGATTATTTAATCATCAATGGGGACTTTTAGTCACGTGGGAGTTGCCTGGATGCCTTGAGTTCATCAGTAATCGGCCAATTCATAGGACCAAAGGTGGTAGCAGACGATTTCTATCTATCCCTTCGCGTCGAGGATGTATTGATTAAAAGAAGTTTGGAATACAGGAAGGTGGATAGATGAAGAAAAATCGATGGTGAAATAAAATTGACACGGGACCTTAATCGAAGTCATTACAGTTAGCTTGTACATTTATCTTCAATTAACAAGTCCATTACTATCAGAAAGGCTTTTAAGACTTATATCCTCATGTTATTTACATACGAACTGTATTTGCTTTCAAAGAGGTCATCAAATTTTAAAAAAGACAAGCAGTCATCCACATCGTGAAATATGCGATTGTCACAGAAGTTATGAATCATTTAGTTACCTCTTTTTCCTCTTCTTCTTCTCGCCCTTCCTCCCCTTCTATCTCTCTTTTCCTTTCTCCTCATTATTATCCACTATTCTCTTATCTTCGTTTATCTCTTCTCTTTTTTCCCCTCCCCCTTCCCTTTCCCTTTCTACTTTCCTTCATCTTCTCGTAATTGTATTGCACAATAACCGAGGAAAAGTTTCCACCGAATCTCTTGGGAAATTACAATATTGTCCAGAGTGCAAAACAGAATATATTAAATGGAGTGCCACGAAGGATATCCTGACCCTAGGGGAAGCAAAACTTGACCATTAGAAAAGAGAACAAATTCATGTGCATTGTTTTTTGTTACTTCACATTTGTAAATCTTGTATTTTTTTTTGTTAATTAATTTCTCCTGGGGATGGGGGGGGGGGGGGGGGGGGAGGTTGATGTTTGAACTGTGTATTAAAGTCACTCTGAAAGAAGAGTTATCTATACGGGTGTCTATATTTGATTGTTGAACTAGAAAAGGTGGATTGTTTCAGCAGTCCAAATATTTATTTAAAACAAAAAAAATAATAATAAATCTAAAATGTATTTCCTGTGCCTTTTTGGAAACCCCAATAATGATTTTATATCTCACCTAGATCATAACTGACTAATTTATGTTTATTTTGTCACTTAGAAGAAGAAAAATGTTTTTATTGCAAGCTCATTTTTTTCGTTCCGTTTTGTACATATGAGGTTTCAGATTACAATTCTATTCATTTTATTTTGAAAGTTAGACATTATTGTTAATCAGTTTATGTTATTACACAAATTTGTCAAAATGTTTCTAATTTAGGCACCATTTTATTGATTTGAAAGTTTTTAGTTTTAGTTTGATGTGATGAATGTAAAGCCATTGTAATTACAAAATAATGTAATGAAAGTAATGATGAATATAATGGTAATAGTTCAAATTATTATAATCTTATCCTGATATATGTTTATTATCTCATATTATGAATTTTTATTCTGTTCTTTACTCTTTATTTTGTAGGATGCAGCCTGTTGGGGGTGACATGCTTTCGAGTAATAAATAGCAATTTCAATTGCTTTTGTCACTCCTGACCAGCAGATTGTATCATTCTCTCTCTTCTCTCCACTTTCCTAAAACTGTTTGCATGTACTATGCAATCTCTATATATTTTCTGATCGTTATACTCGCTGTATGTTTTCTGATTGGTCAAATAAATAATAAAAAATTTAAAAAAAAATAATAATATTATGGTACATACCTGTACATCATATGTGTAAGTTTTGACGAAACACAAGAACCCTCTCTCAAATGCAACAAATGAGATAGTCAAACGAGGATACAGGGATAAGGGTGAAACACTTATTTATTATTCAACAATTCAACACAGCAGGTTGGACGGATAGTTAGATCGAAGAATAAAATGAATAAATACATAGAAGCACTCTATCAATCATTTGACAATCACCTTATCTTATTACAATCTTTAAAAATACATACATATTCATAAACATTTTATAAATATATTATGCATAATGTCATTCTATGTGAATAGCCAATAAAAATCATCATTATATATTTACAAAATCAGATTTTTAACAGATTACTACATTTTGTGTGATAAAGTCGTATAGGGCAATTATTGTTGACAGGTTTGTTTGTTTATCTAACACTAAATATGTACATGTTGAGGAAGAGTGATAGGATAAATGAAAAACCTAGTACCATAAAGAAAGTGTCAGTTGTCCCATATAGTATAAGCAGAATTGATTAACATGTTCTTACTCTTTGAAAACCCATTACTGCTAGAAGCCTGCATCCCGACAATGTGATGTTTCGGATCATTTCCATAATTACAAATGAAAAAATACGCTTTTTCATGCTTCCCTCCTGACATAGACCTCATCTGAAAGGCATATCAATCACAAACAGGCACTGGAATATGAGATTCAAGAGGGAAGGGAAAAAATCTACAAATTTACCCTACTCAAGCCAGAACACATTACTCATCTTTTGTTTTATAATTGATTACTCTCTTCTGTTTGCTGCTACAAGAAAGATAATGTTTTCTGGAGGCTATGTTGGATGTAATGCATCTCCCTGCCATGTCGAATTAGCGTTCATTCACGTAGCTCCCGAATCGAGGGATTTACCCATTAATCTTGCGTGGAAGACAGGCAGTGAGGCAGGGAGAGGTAAGATAGAATGATAGAGTAGGGGGAAGAAGGGCATGGAAGGAGAGATGCAGGGGAATGATGAGGTGGGAGACAGCTATTCCTGTTGCAAGAGCGATGTGGAGAATTCAAGAGAGGGGGGGGGGGGGGGGGAGATAAGAGTGAGAAAGAGAGAGAGGGGGTCTAGGAGAAAAACAGAAACACAAAGATAGTTAGATTCAGAGGTGAGAAAATATACAAGAGATTTCAAACCCTTATTACGAAAATTTGAGACATTGCTGAAACAAATGGAAAGAACAGACACACAAAGTAAAATGGAGAGAGGGAAGAGAAAGTGAGAAAAGGGGGAAAATAGAGACTGCATGAAGACAGAACTAGAGGGGCAAAGAGAGAGAGAGAGAGAGAGAGAGAGAGAGAGAGAGAGAGAGAGAGAGAAAGACAGGCAGAGCGGAGGGGGGAGAGGGAGAGAGAGACATAGGATCAATCTAGAATGAGGATAAGAAAGTGGGATACATCCCGTGGGTGCCATTTACAAGAGGTTCAATCACTGTGGACCAAAACAAAATGCTAAAGGCGTTTGATGTGTTAATAAATGACCTCCTCAGTATATAGAGACTCACTGAAGTAGTTTAATGGGATATAGGAGTGCAGGGTTGTCTCTTTCGCTACTGTCTAAATACAAATGGATTTGCACAGAGCCTTGAGGGAAGGGGAAATTGGTAATCGAAACAGGTGGACGACTATGGGATGTAAGAATGCCTCTTCTCTCTCTCCCAGTAACATCGCAGTAATAAAATGCTAGATTCGGAGCTGGAGTCATCCTTAATTCCTCTTCAATCAAGGGGAAAATGCAAATTTAGCTAGCCTAAGGAGGCAATCTTCATCTGATTTAAATCTCATACACACACAAAATACAAATTGCCTTACTTGACTAGATATAAAGTATCTGCAATATAATTTGATGATGGTATATTTGATTATTCATAGGAAGGAGAGGTTGGGTAGTGGTTTTTGCACTAGGATTTGCGTCGTTTATTAATTAGATCTTCGTAATTTGGTACTGAAATTTATATTTTTAAACTATAACCTTTCAAATTGAATGGAGTTAATGAAGAAAGAAATCCGATCATGCATTTATTTTCCCTTGAGAAATGCATTTTTACATTTTTACAATAAATGTATCTCATTCAGGTAATCATTTATGGAAGTTCATTTTTGAGCATCAAATCAATTTTTCCCTCTCAGTTCATGACATAGACCAAGTTGAAGGCAATGTAGTTTTGTATATATTTATAGCACATGAATTCATACTTGCAATCATCAATTTGTCATCTGATATATTAGCTTGCAAACTGCACATTCTGTAATTGATCCACCCCTTTGTTCCCCCATAAGAGTGCCTCAGGAATATGTACTTTTGATAAAAGCTTGGTATTACAAAGCTCCCGGAATCATCCTCATAAAAAAATAGGAAATAAATTAGAGCCAAACCAGTTTTGTTTTTCAGCGTTCTATCGAATTGTGCGAGACATGCCAATAAATTCTACACTTGATGTCACATTCAATCCATCAGTCTTTTCAACTAAGAACAACAATTGGACTGCCCCATTGGTCAAAGATTAATTGCATGGCACACCAGCATGCTCTCGAGGGTTGGCAATTTGGGAGGATTTCAGGCTCTCTTCTTTTCTGTCCTCAAAATTGTAGGAATTATGTGTAGGATACACTGATCAATCACAATGTGATTGCAATTGAAACATGCATCCTCAGGTCATTGAATGTACTCCGCGTATCTATGATATGTATGACTCAAGACAAAGTAATACTGTAACTGAAATAATTGTATATTTATCAGTAACTACACATCACAGTGAAAGTACATGGGGTTGTATTGTGAGAAGACTTTTGTGAATAATAGCTTAAAGGTACGACATGTTTTCTTGAAATTAATGCTCTGCACAGTAAAAAATCTCTTAGGATAATCTCTTTTTGTTTGCTTGCTTTGGTGACAATAAATATGGTCTGCTCATCATACCTTTACACTGCACAAATCATTAGCAGCCATTAAGAGGGCCTTAACAATTATGTATTGTCATTGGCAGTAATAGCCTCCTTGTGGGCAGCCGACAACTATTATCAATGTTTTAAAATAATACTATAATTCTCTAATTATGGACAACAGGTAGCCCAATTGTGAACAATTTGAAGAATGACTCAAAGCCAATGAAATTATGTAGATTCACAAATAATAATAATTTTGTTTTAACCCATAGAAAGAGGACTTAATTAGCTTGAGTACAGTATGTTTTAGGGCTAATATAACATCCAATAAAACCTTGCCGTTAAAATAACACCCCAATTGTATAGATCAATCAATTATATGTCTTGCACTTTTAATAGGGTTTGCCAAGACAAATATCCCTTTTATTTTGTATAATAATTGTGTGGTCACATATTTGGAATGATATCATGCAATATCAAGTACAGTCAAACCTATCTATAGCGACCGCCAAAGGGAAACAAAAAAAAGTGGCCTTTGTAGACAGGTGGTCTTTGTAGACAGGTTCCTTTAGTACATAATTCAATGAGAAACCATCTTCAAGGGAAACAACGAATGTGGCCTTCGTAGACAGTCACTAAAGCAGGTTTGACTGAATAGGCTTTACTGTCAAAGGAGTGTATAAGCATTAATCTTCCTCTTGATTAGTTGGAGCTGGCTGTAGGAATGAGAGCATCCAGGTTAGAATCTTAGTATCACTCATACAGTCACCGTAGCTAGGATCAAACAGCTGCTCAAGACAGTGAATGCTGGCTAGTTTCACATCAAATGGGATCTAAAGGGGTTTAAAAAAGGAAAAAAAGGAAAGAAAGAAAAGAAAAAAGAAATGTCAATCATAATCCAACGATTCGTAAGACATACCAATAATCAATAGAGATCGTTACAGCAAGTAGAAATACAACTAAATAACCCATTAAACAGATTGTTAATATAAGTAGAAAGTCTGAAGGTGTAAATCAGTTATCACATAAACTCATACATCATGAGTATGCAAAAATTCCAATCAAATAAAACAAATAGCAACTACTTAGCAAATCTATGTCAAAATCTCAATTTAAGCAGTACTAAACCACGATTACCCAAATCATGTCAGATACATGGACCTTCTTTTTTAATGCAGTTGTGAGAAATAATACCTAACCTAGACCAGTGAAAGATTTGTTCAGTTCATTGTTACTTTTTTCCGTATTTTTCTCCCCCAGTAAAGGTGATGCCAACCTCACATTTGAACAAACAGCAAAAAAAATCAAAATCAAAATCAAAACCTGCTTATCTCATGTTACTTATTTTCTAGGACAACATGTACTTACATTATATCCAGGCTTTGGTTCAAAATCTTCTTTTCCTTCCAGTAGCTGCTCTACAATCAGGGCACATTGCTTCAACAAAGCCTAAACATGAGGAACAAAAAAGAGCCAGATTCAGAAAACAAATTGATCTCTTAGAGAATGAAATTAATGAGATGGAGCTAATGTTTTGTGAAGAAATGAAGCACATTATAATCTCATCAACCCCATACATGTAAGTGGTTTAAACTGATGAAACTGACAATTTATAATTGGTATATATATATTACATCTGCAAAAGATAAGTGTGTCTTTCTCCTTTAACTTCAAAGCTGATTCATGCATTATTAAGTATGAATTGAAGGTAAACATTTTGTATAAAGATCAATAGTTAAAAACAGACTTTAGCTTAAAACTTGTCAAATAACATTCTTTTTTGGATACATGTTTGAAATTTGGTGACACCTTAAGGATAAGCTTACCTCTAGGTCTTCATCTTTCTTAACCTTGGCTGAGAGTTGGGCGATGCGATGGGTGCGCTTAGACTTCCTGCTGGTGGGTTTGCTACCGGAGGAGCTACCAGCCGATGTGGGTGTGTTGGTGCCCCCATGAGAGCTTGCAGCTGGGGTGCTAGGGGGCTTGGGCTGCTCGGAGAGGGATATCTCGGCTCGTTGACGAACTACGGCTAGCTTGTCATGGAGGTCAGTCAGCTGAGAGAGGGATAGGGTTATCTTACCCAAGGTTGGTGGAGGGGAAGGACCTGTAATAGATGAACAAGAAAGTTGTAGGGAAGCATTAACTTGAAGTCAAAACTAATGGGCAAACAGGTATCTTACAAGATGGATATTGGTGGAAAAGCAGTAAGAGAAGCATAGCTCGTACAAAGAAATTTGAATTTTGATTTATATTTCAACATCTAATTCATTATTGCTCTTTCTTGAATACTTTTTAATTATGTGACGTGGTCACCTGTTTGACCTCTTAAAGTGTTTTTTAAAGGGGGGAGGGGCAACTAGACAGGATAAATTTTCATTTAAGATTACATAAATTTACACCAAAGAAAGGTTGAATGATATATTATTCAATTCAAGCTCTTTTCAATGACTTACTTTTCTTAGTCTTAGCGGATCCTTTTACAGGCAGCTGACACAGTGCATAAAGCAGATAGACTCCACGTCCCTTCTCGCCACTACCACCTCCTTCTCCCACAGTGATGTCATCATAGCTTGGCTGATACCATTGGAAACAGAGCTCCGTCTCATCACCCCCCGTCACCAGCTTCTCCAGGCTACGCCCCTGAGCTGCCTGCCCAGTGGGCTCGCAGATGAGAGGTACTGTGTAGCTGTTGGCTGGGTAGGTGACCGTGGGTATGACTAAGGGGGCATCCTCAGAGATTGGATCAGATGATGAGGGAGAGGGGAGATGGAGGATGCTGGGAGGGGTGATGGCCAGACATGAAGAGGCAAAGATGGGGAGATTGTTGGTGAGGAAGCTGACCATGGTCTGTAGGCGCAGTGAGGCGTGGCTGTTCAGGAGTGGGGTACGTATTATCTCATGGTTAACGCCTGTGTCCTGTCCGCTGTGGTCCACAAAACCAAGGTCAAAGTTGCCTCCAAGGTTGCCTCCATTAATCTGAAGAAGATAAAAACAGGCATATTCCATTATTACAGGAAACTTGACAAGCAATAACTACATGCAAGATTTTCTTCAGGACTCTATGTTTCGTTTAGTGATAGATGTGTGGTGAAGCAGTTTCCACACTTGTGTCAATGTCCTATTTGCCATCTTGACAATGCTCTTTGTTAGTTCCTTCCACATCTCCTTTGTAGAAGCCCTAAGCACTCTAAGTCAACTATGTTGTTCATGCACTGGCCTATAGTCTTCAGGTTCTCATCAAGAACTGTTGGTAGGGAGATGTGAGGGCATTTTAACCATCATTCCCATTGGAAATGAAATACTTCAAACTTGTAGATAAAATATATTTGCTCTGTACATCATGAAATGAAGCATTGTACATGGAGTTTTTAATCAATTCTCTCAAACAAAATATAATAAATATATAAACAATTACGAATTGAGATTTCTTTTTACTACCAAGTGTGAAAATCAGTCAGGTATATCAGATCTCTTTGACTTGATGTGATAACCAACGGAAATCTAGATGATGATATTAAATGTGGTAAAACATGAACAAGGGTTATATAACAAGCACCATTTAGAAATAGTGTACAACAGTAAATCACTCACTGGTGATGAAGTGCCATTGTCTCCTAGTGCCAGGGTATCCAGGTTACACATCCTCTGCAGGATGGAGGTATACGCCAGGAGATGGATCCATGTCAGGGAGACCCGCACCTCCTTGCCCATGCCCCCGGTGTTAGTGAGGACAGTGACGCTGCGTCTGTCCCTGCTTAGAGTCTCCTCCACCGGCTCCAGTGGCTGGTTGCTGGTCAGAGCTGTGGGAGGGGGAGTCAGCACTACTGTGTCACCTGGTTGAAAAATAAAAGGTGCATGGAAATTAACAATTGAAAAAAATATATAAATGATATGTTCTCCTTTTATTTGTTTTTTTACACGAATAGGAAAGATCAAGGAGTTCAGATGTCCCTTTACCAATAGCAGTAGGATCAATATCTAAGCTAAAGGAACTATTAGAAGCATTTGATATCATTTCATTAATCATTTTAGTCATAGTCGAACAACTATACTATTTCAATAGATTGGATTTTCATAGTTTTCACAATCAAAAAAGTTTTTTTTACCTGGGAGATTTTCGCCTACTCGTTGCTGCAGGCATCATTAGACTGACGTTTTATCGCCGCTAGATGGGGGTAGTATGACAGTCCAAGCGGCGATAAAACGTCAGTCTGATGATGCCTGCAGCAATGTGTACGCAAAAGTCTCACAACCTTTTTTTATTGTTAAACTATGAAAATTCAATCTATGGAATACATGTACTACCGATCAGATGGACCTCTTCAAGAACTACACTATTTATATGATATCAAGCTAAATGTAATTGTACAGTCATTTATCCAAAGTACTCTTCATGCAGAGAGCCTTCAATGTGAAATATGATATAGAACTTAGTCAAATACAGTCAGATAAAACTAATTAAGGACATAGTGTGAAAAAATCTACATCATTATTCTAAGAAAAATATATAGAATAAGTAAGTATAATAAAGAGTTGATCAATAGGAAAAATCTATAGAAAAGTTTACAGCATACCATTCATATCACCGAACAGATCCTGTTGAATAGGAGCCGATAGTTGATCTTTGACCTTCTCTGTCAGGGTGAGAGAGGTCACACTGGGGTCACCAATCAGCAGCGTCTGGGTCCGCTGAGCAAGAGCGATAGCTGTGGCACAACGCAGGGCAGTCCAGGCAGCTTGTCTCTCGTTCTGTCTATCCTTGATGAAGTTCTGTCTTTCCTCGTCTTTCTTCGTTGAAGCCTTGTTGGAGGCTGAGGTGATGTGGGCGGACTTCTTTGCTGATGGAGTCTGAAAAAGATGAGAGGAGTCATAAGTATACACATTCAGTGTTGTTGTTTTTGCTTTTTGAATCTCAGTCATTTCCTCCGTGACTCATGAATTGCAAAGCAGAAGATTATTGGTAACAATCATTATATTAATGTAAACGTAAACCTTATTCCAATACCCTAAATTTCAATGGATGTCCTTACTTTCACCCATTTACTAATGATTAAATATTCATTGTTCCAATCTCCAGAACAGTTTGAATACTCCAACAATAAACCATAGCAAATTTTGCAATTGGTCCAGTTTCAATCCACATAATGAGTGCAATTCCAATTTATGCAATTCGCGAAAGTTTCTTGCTGCAGATATGACCATCGTCAGCTACTTTGAAGTTCCCCATTTGATAGTAAACAGATTTCACACTTCTTATCAAGGCCTTTTTTTTCCTCAAAACAAGATGTCCATATTATAACCTTTTTGTATGTAATGAGATCAAATTGGTGTTCTTACTCTGACTTTCTTCTTGGTGCTGGAAGGTTTAGAGGGGATAACATTCTTCTCTGTAGCAGTGTCTGGTGGGGGCATTGGTGGCTCTGGCTGTTGACTACTGCTGAAATATACCACTGCCATCTCAAGGTATGCTTGTCGGATCAACCTATACAAGGAAGGAGTGATTGAGGAAGCATGAAAGAGATAAATGCACAATCATTGAAATTGGTGATGTACTGATCTCTGCTTCTACAATCTCTTATCTGAGTTCAAGCTCATCCAAGGCTTTCTGATATTTATGGAAAGCAAGTTTAGTTGGTTCATTACAAAATCTTAAACTATTTAAAATGATAGCACTAAATATTATGCTAAATGATTGGTCCAATCATATAACAATGTCTGATTTCAAAACATTATCACTAATCCTGAACTTCAAATCATCTGTGGCTGATATTCAGCTATGTAAATCTGCATCAATACGAAATGTACATATCATCACAGCAATACACATGGGTTACAGCGATAGAGCTAGGAGTGAACATATCTAAAAGTACATTGTCTGATAAGAAAACATCTTTACATTTTGCATAACTATTTTTGCAGTCTAATTGTTGAGTGATAAAGGATATTCATTTGATATTTGCTTCTATTAGGTTATAAAAACCTGAGGTTAGATGGCTGATTGTTCTTGTGAACTTACCCTAGGTCTTGATTGGCCCCCATGCTGGTCACGATAGCCTCCATAAGTGTGTTCCCAACCACCCTAGCCTCACAGGCCCGTGGACCACCTCTCTGGTGTAGCTGACTCTGAACCTTGCCTAGCTGTAGGTAGACTTCAGCCAGGACTGCAGCATCCTTGATCACACATACTCTGCAGAGCTCTAAGGCAGTACCCAGGACACCCGCACTGATGGCCCAGGCCTTCAGAGGATCAACCTTCTCTGCATTCCTGTCATTAACAAATAAAATGTAATATAGTTTTCTGTATGAATCAAACCTCTTTTTAAGAACTTGATTCAATCCCCTTTGCAGAATATCTGTGAAATCATACACCTGTGGACATATACATGTACAGAGACGTGTCCTACAACAAAAAACAGACTGGCCTAAAATTGAGGTAGCCTTTGCACATACATGATTGTATGAATTGGAATCAGTTTATTGATAAATACACACTGAACTTGAAGGATGCTTTGACAACTATGAAGAGGAGTTAATTTCTTTTTTCCCATGTGTCTATGGAATGGAATAAAGATCATAACATTTCTGCAGGTAAGACTAAGAGCCATGAAGATTTTTACAGGGTGTTATCTGAGACCAAATGGTTCAGAGAAGTCTCCACCGATGCATGAACTGTGGCATAAAGACATTTTATATTTTGACAATACCCTTCAAGTACCCCCCCCCCCCCCCCACCTCATACATAAATAGTTCATATGGAGCCGGCTTTGTCTCGAGCAACAAGCATACTGATTAACAAACAAGCAAGATACCTGTACCTAAATACTTTAAGAAATCAGCACAAAAAAGTCAATAAAAAAGTATCATGACTCACTTCTTTGACTTGACCTCCTGAGCTGTGGTAACTTGTCTAGCCAAGGCGTGTCCTAATCGTAGCTTGATCTTGGCCAAGTACAGCAGGTGTGGAAGGTATAAGTTCTGAAGTGGGCTGGTAGGGGCAGACAGTTCAGGGTGGATGGTGTGCCGGGATGTGGAGTCACCAAGCAACTTGATCTGTTTCATAGAAGACAGCAAATGAGAGGTACAGTTTATCCACTAAGCCATTGCTCTATAGTTTCTTAAAGCTCGTCTGTACTAGTTTGGCTATGAGGGATTAGACCACCCAGGGTGGTCACTGACAGGCGATTATCTCATGAACTCAGCTCTCAATTAACATAAGAAAAAGAGGATTGTGGAGGACCAATGGTCACTGATTACCGGTAGGCATTGTTTTCTATATAGAGGGAGCTAGTAGCTACAAGTAGTACAGAGGGGCTTTACGCCATTGCTCTAGTTTCTTCATTAAGAGAAAGGCATTTGTTTTTAGTACACGTGGACAGTAGCTTACGGGGAGGACATGTGGAACCCTATGAATACCACCATTTGTGCTGATCAGGGGTGTTCCACCTTACTTCTGCTATCACATTTTTTTCAAATATGTGCTTACCTGCTGCAGCAACATATCCTGTGTCTCTTGGTAAGCCTTGAGCAGATGCTTTGTGATGGGGCAGCCATGCTTCTGCTGGTAGGCCGTAGTGGTCAAGGCCTCTAGGTCAGCCAGCTGGACCTTAGCTAAGATGACCAACAGACTGGCAGGAGGGGACAGGGTCTGCTGACTACTCAGCAGGATGATTACTTCCTGTGGATCAAGATATTGTAGAGGAAGGAAATTGAGGATTAAACTTACAATTTTATGGTACTTGATTACAAAACACATTCATAAAAACATACCGTACCTGCTGTAATTTGAATAAAATCATCTTATAAAAGCCAGAAGGGGCATTCACTCATATCATTATTAAGAGTTAGTACCCTTCCAGCTCTTAGCCAATTATATAAACAAGCTTTACCTATGATCACATCGACTGTATGTTGACTGAAATAACTAGCAAAAAAAATTGTCTGCTGAGAGCCAGACAGACATTAGCTCACCCTTCTGATCATAACAAAATCATTGATTTAATTCCCTTCTAGCTTGGCTTTTAGAAGACAAAATATAGGATTTTCAAGGAGGTTAGGACACCTCATTGAGCAGATGACTATTCTACAGTATAAGCTAAGAGGTGAAGAAAGTATAAGGATAAGGAAGTTACATGAACTACATCACTTGAAATCACTTGATAAAATCTTGGAACAGACAAGGGGGAGCAAAACCATGTTAAATAAGACAGAAGCTTCAATAAGATATTTTTATTGATACCTTGAGGGTGTGTTGCACATCATCCAATGCTCTACCATCATGCATATCCAGCAAGGCACCCTGCATGAGGAACTCAGCTTGCATCTCCACATCCCCACAGGCTTCTGCTTCGGTCAGACCCTGCATGCAGTACTGACGACACTCACCAACTTCACCAGCACCACCAGCACCTAAACAGTCAGAAACGTAGTCAATGACATTTAAAGGTAAAGACCAGTTCTGGTCATGCAATTGCATTGTGAAAGAAATGTTGTGGAATTGATCAAAAAAGGTTGATCATCTAGCATATAAGCATTGGTGTGTACTGCAATGTTCTGGAATCATCAAAATGATAAGAAATTTGGCCCAGTCTTGGTAAAGTTACAAGCACTGTACACAGAGAGATGTATATGGGACTACCCTATATCTATCCAGTCCAGATAGATATAATAATTTACCAAATATATCAATTAGTAGGCAGTTTCCAGGCAAAATTTGTATCATCACGTATTAGATGAAACATATTCTTTCACATGATTGGAAATAAGAGCTTCCATTTCATTTTTTGAAATGGTGGTGTTTCCAAAACTGGTCTTCACCTTTAACATAGATTTAGAAGCTATCAATTGGGTCCATGAACAAATACACAAGATGCAACAGAACTGTGTTGAGTTCAAATATGCCTTCCACCATTCCCTGACCCAGGATAGAAAACAAGGGAAAATTTTCTGTCCCTAGGATGGAGAAAGGGCATTTAATGATGGTTGTCTTACAATATGCAAAAAAAATGATGCTCTATGCACAGTTAAAACCCACAGCACTTTCCATACAGATGAGGGTTTAGTTTATCGGTACAACTTCTTTGCCTCACCATTTATCTCTTCTTAGATAATAGCCATCATTCAAATCCTAGTAAATGTATAGATTTGAACTATACAACAGTGCACCAAAACACAAACAAACAAAATATTGCAGGAATGAGTGATGAATGAATATAGAAAGATCTATCTCACCTGGTAAGACACCCATGCCTCTGATCTGCATCATAAGACACTTGACCAGAGAGAGACGACAGTCAAGCCAGAGACGAGCATCCAGTCTGGAGCGACTCTGGAAGTTCTGATACTGATACTGAGGCTGATCAATGACTTCCTCACTGCTCTCTATGTTGGTATTGAACATGTTGGATGAGAGCTTTGTGCGGCTGCCTTTCATTGATGAGGGTCTGCAGTGTGGAATGAAAACAATTAAAAACCTCTCCACCCTATCATTTCTATTTGTACTTTGATCAAACAATGTACAATACATGAAAGAGACTGACGTATGCTTTCTGGGACGCTTCAAGGTAAATCCTTCAGAGATGAGATCGTGTTGAGCTATGGCAGTTTCTCACAACTTATCAAGACATTTACTCATAGAGCATCAAGAAGCAGCTTTTTGACTTAAGTGTTGTTTTCCTTTTCTTTTTTTACATATGAATACATAGAACAGAAATACTGCTTATGCAAGTACACTCAAGTACATGCAAGTATATCTCAACCTTAATTGTTTCAATCAGATATAATAATGAAAGAATAGCATAAAGAGGACTTTCTGTCTCTAACTGACACAACTCTGCATCATTTTAACTACTACACTGATGAAACAACTCTCTCTTGGCCCAATCTTTAGATTTGATTTGATTTGATTTGATTTTAGTACAGCACAAATTTCCAAAGACTCCGCCCCAAGTTATCTTGGCGATGGAGCCATTAGGTGAAATCAAAGTAGAGAGCAATCACTGACCTGCGACGAGAGATGGACTTCCTTGTTTCCCTGAAGAGATCACTGGCTTGGATGTCATGAAGAGCAGAGATAACCACTGCAGCTCCAGACTGGGATAGATGATACTCTCTCAAGATGGCTGCTTGCTCAAGTTTGGTGAGGACTACCAACTCTAGCTCAGACGCTGAGAGATTCTTCGGAGCTACATAGGATGTGAGATAAAAGTAGATTTAAGTCAGTGATGTAGTCATTACGTGCACACCAAGCAACGTCCTTACCAACACAAATTGCTTTCAATAAGTGAAATTCAAAGCTTCCCTTTTTAATTTTAATGTCCTTATAAATAGACAAAGGTATGGGTCAATGTATGCTAATGAACATTGTTATATGTACTTGACCAACTTTCTTTGTACCTCATATGTATGGTCTTACTGGTGTATAAGATGACAGCTAGGGAAGCACAGAATGAGGTTACAGAATTACTTACAGTGTTCTTGAAGTACCTCCACCATCAGTTTCAACACCTGATCAGCAGTGCTCAGAAGAGTACCCTAGAAAACAAGATACAGGATTGGTAAACAAAACATTCAATATATTGTTAACATATAACAAAACTTCCTGTTATGGAATATAGAAGACCCTGCCTCTTGGAGCTTGTAAAATTCATTAATAAATCAGCACCAGCCAGATTCATGAAATATATTGCTTGATGAAATTGGAAAACAATATTCCATGAATGATGAGATATGTGTGAAAAGTCCATTAAATAACTTAAAACCCCTCTGCACTTTGGCATGGAGGGATAAAACCTCCCTACTAGGTCACTGGCAGGTGGTTATCTCATCAAATCAGCTCTCAATTAACATAAGAGAAAGGGCATCATGGGGGATCAACAGGTACAACTTAGGCATTGTTGGCTGTATAGAGGGCGCAAGTAGCTATAAGTAGTGCAGTGGGGCTTTAAACATTGTTAAATAAGTAATTTATGCACATTTGAAGGTCCTTGTTTCATTTAAAGATAACCAAATTGATACTCGTGATGATATACTTACTTTGATCTTCTCAAGAGTGAGCAGATTGGATCCACTAGAAAACTTCTTCACTGTCACCTCACTCAGAGGAACACTGTGTAGGGAGTTATCATCTACAAACCACAAAGTAAACAATTTGAATTTATCCAGTGCATATACATATTCTTTAAATTATCTCACTGAAATACAGGTACATGTGCATTATTACAGGCACATCATAATTTGTTCCCATGTAGCAGAGAGGAGACCCCATTGCACGATTTGGCAATCATTTTTAAGAATTTTGCAGCAGATTGAATCCATGAGCAATATTAACTGAAGAAAAACATATGTTAATACAAATTCTTTTCCATACTGATTCACATTGTTATTTGAAAGAAGAAAAAAATATGATCCTTGGTATAAACCACATATAAAGCAGTAATATGGCTTCATTATCTTCTTTAACACATATTTAATTACATAAGCCAAATGATGAATAGTACAGTGTTTCATGATTATATTTAACAAATAATGCATACATACACTTCTACATCATACATAGATAGTATTAAAGAGGTTATTACCATCATCCTTGATCAATTTCTGGCCATTCTTAGAGTCTTTCTTGGAGGTCTTGCTAGGTCTATTGACTGAGCTCACTGTGACAGGAGATGCACGCTGTGGAGGACTTTGGCTTTTAAGACAAAAGAAAGATCATATAATTTTTTGAGTTTTAACACATTTCTTCCAAACAGGATTTGATCAGTAAAAGAAGCATGATTTTTCATCATTGAACTTGATAAATCATTAAATGGAGCCAAAGGCCTTCACTGACTAAACTACTGCTTATCATTTGTACAACTACTATTTACTTGCAGGTTTATTTGATATCTTACTCCTATAGTATGATGTTATATCAAATAGCAATTTTCAAAGACAACAAAATCATACTGAGCACCTGTTATTACATTCAAAGAGCAGGAAATGTGTAAGTTGTTACAATATAACTTTATTAAGAGTTCAAAAGGCTTGCACACATCCAACATAAGAGAAATGAAAACATTGTGATTGTAATTTCAATCAAAGAAAATGTGTATATTGTAACAGAAGAATATGTCACACTTACAACATGTATGATTAATCAATACCAAGATCATTTTCTTCCTTGTCACATCAACAGGAAATGGAATTCACTGTATAAATAATTTTCATCAAATACCTGACTGTTTCCTTCTCTGGAATGACGTGTATAGTCGATGCTAGCGCCACCATGAGGTGAGTCTGAGCCAGGGACAGGTGGCAAGTCATGTGTGGGCCATAGAGAATCGCCAGAGATGGAGACACACGCTTCTCCATCAAGTACTCAAGCATCTATACGATGTAAAGATAAAAGAACATTTTGTTTTAAGAATGTTACTTCACCTTTATCACCTACATGATAATCAACCTAATTTGAAGTTGAATTTGAATTTTGTTATATCAAAGCTCAAAATTCTTTTCATAAAGGAAAATAATATGATATTACTAATACATGAATAATTAAAATTTTTAAGCAAAAATGGAAGATATATATATACTCTTTATTACAATAAGAACAGACCAGATATAACAGATACATTTGGGTGTAACCCTATAACTCAGCTGTATGATCTGCATATGAATGAAGAACTCCCATGAAGCTTTGTAAGGTTTATACAGGTTTATGTTGTGCCATTGATCAATTAGCAATATAGCCACTAGTGTCAGACTTACCTTCAGATTTGCTGGCTCTGTCAGTGGTTTTCCAGTGTCAAACTTCTGTATCAGCTGTTTTCAACAAACATAGAAATAGCATATCATAATCACTGTCTGTATGATATCAAAAGGACATAGCTTACAGAAATGTACATGTAATAAACACTTATGTATATACGAGTGTTCAGTTCATAATCAGAAATATACTATTGTTTGAACAAAATAACTGTCACAGTTATTTTCAATCTTAAAGATCTGACTTTTAATTTGTGCAAATAAATTCAGTCAGGTTTCCAATGTGTTGCAATATACATGTACCATACACCTTATACAAAAACATAAACTAATAGAAAAATCGATCATGATGAAAATAATTATTGTTCTCTTGTGTTTTTATCCACCGATAGTATTTACATGATCCCAACAGTTTGTAATAACTGATTTAATATAAAAAGCAGTATGGTACATTCAAAGGGTCAAATATTGTAATAGCAGCATAAAGCTATAGTATTTTTAGACAACTAATGACATACCATCTTAGATTCCACTTGTCTGAAGTTCTTGTCAGCCGTCTGTGGGAGTCTCTCTCCATGCAGTAACCGTCCCAGGACGATGTAGGCTTCTTTGTACAGACCTAGATCTGTCAGGATCCTCGACTAAAGATACAATGGGTCAAAAAAGTATTACTGATTTCTCTGGGGTAACAAGCCTAAAGGATTTAGACTTGATGATCGTCAACTGATGGAGATGGATTGAATTAATGTCCAGACTAGACACTGTTGGGTTTGTTTGCTTGTCATCTTTTGCCAAAATCAATAAATCATATCTTCTTTTTTTTCTTAAAATCGTAAACATAGCTGTCTCCAAAATCCCTGAAATGCTCTCTTGACTACTTAAAACCACATATTTTATTACTTGCAAACAAAATATACCCTAGTAGCGTTCATGTTATATGCTGCACTGTCTGATGTGGATTGAAAGCTAGAGTGTATTGTTCCTATTTTTATGTCACATAAAGCATGTGAACTAGACATGTTCAATTTGAAATGTTTAATGAGTTTATTACTGAAAATCACCTTCAGGATTCTGCCATCCACAGCTCTCTGAAGGTCACGACATAAGAAGGTCACAATGTACTGGTAGAGGGTCAGTAGTGGAAGTACCTATTGAGAGAAAGAAAAAAAAGGGGAACAAATTTAGGATTTACAGACGTATGAACAGTCTAACTCTTGCCTTGATCTGATTATGATAATATAAACTTGCACTATCAACCAGTTATGTAAAAACTGAGGTTTTGGTTATCATTAGGATGCATGTGCATCATAGAGGTTCAATTCATGAGATATGACACAATGCACAATAATCTAGATAGTACACACCACTGAAATTTAACATCCAAGAAATGATGAATACTGTCATCATTTGCTTTTTGTCACATTCTAGAGAGTTACTCAAACAGTCATAATGGCATGATAGAAACTCTCATACTAGTACAAAGACAGTAGGAGTACATCTGATTTTACATACCATGAGATTATGTTTGGCTCTTGACAATTCTTCCGCGACCCATCGCAATGTTGCTATCAAGCTCCTGCCCTCACATCGGAACCGGTCCGAGAGGAGATCCACCCCTGGGACCAGGTACTGCACCTCACACCCTTCACCAATCTCATACAGGGCGTAGTCCCTGTCTGCGGTGGGGTGGGGCAGGGTCGTACGGAACAGAGCCTTGAAGAGGAACGCCGACAAGAAACAGGCTTCCAGTTTCATGCCAAGGTCAGAGGTTAAAACATACCTACAAGAAACAAATGCCAATGGATAAATTTGATGGTGACATGAACTTATTCTGTTAAGAAAGTTTTTGTGACATCTTTAAATATATATGTGTTGAAATAGTCCTCCTATCAATTTTTATCAGATATAAATATCAATATTTTCTTTGATTTAATATTCTGAATTAATAAAAGGGCACATAATTGCAATGGATCTTACAAAAACCTTAAACCTAGTGCCACCCATAATCCAACAAACATCTTCAATACAGTGCCAATGCCCAGATGCAAAGCATTTTACAGTTTTAAGATTTCTCACGAAAGCTTTTAATAAATATCGACTAAAAAGCTGTAGCCAACAAATGTAGAGTTTTTGACCAATAAGCTACTTACTGAGCAATCTTAGCGGCCAGCATAGCCCCTAGAAGACATCCCCACATGCCGCATCGGTCAAGCAGTTGACTGCTAACATTCTCTGCTTGTTGGTCACTCAGTAGTCTTCTCCATGTGGTCAAGGTGTCGTTGGTTCCTAAGATCAGATCTAAGGCTTCACTCCACCATTTGTATGCAGCCCTGTACACAAAAAACATGAACAATATTGATGATGATGGTGCTTTAAAAAAAATTGTACATGAGCTCTGAAAAAAATCTTTGAATTGATAATCAATTAATGAATTTTTCCAAATCCAATTCACTGCACCTGAGAAATGGAGAACTAAAACAGTAGGGATTCGATAGAAATATCTAATATCTTTTCCCATTCCCACTGGCTGTGTGTGCAATGCAACTGTGACACACACCACAAATATGGCTTGCTAAATCAATACTGTATGATCAATGGATATTTGTTTATACTATCCATCTATAATCAGTTGCTTGTACAGGGTATTCTCTTCATGATATTTTACACTTTTCAATATGAAGTTTTAAAAAATCTACTTGCAATTTCTAGGCACTACATGTCAATCACTAGTTAAAAATTAACCTAGAAATATACACTGGACAGTAGCTCTAAAATTGTTGTCTGCATTTAAAAAAAGGAAGAAAGAATACCAAATAATCAGTCATTACTCACTTGATATTGGAAGCATGGTAGTGGATGTTACCCAGTTCATGCATGGCTTGAGCTGCTAAGCCTGACTGCTTACGGGCCATCAACATTTCTGTACAGGAATATAGAAATGTACTAAGAAATGAGCACAACCATTACAGTAATCAAACTGATCAAAGTCATCACACTATTAACAAGTCTTGTTTCCAGATCAACATACATTTGACAAAATAGTACACTCTGTCAAGGAATCATGATAACATAGAGATAGACATCTTGTTTGTTCAATTAGCTATTTTCTATACCACTTTTCAAATAAATTTTAGACAAAGTAATTGGCAGCCGTACATCAAGAAATTAACAACTGCCAGATAGGCAATAGACCTGGGCCCCATATCACAAAACTAGTCATCATCGACAAATATGACTTGGACAGTTTTTGTTATAAGCTAGTGAAATACTTACTTCTGATTGATTATCAGCAGATTTGTCACTGATTTTTGTCATTTGTCATTTAAAAAAGGCTTTGTGAAACGGGTCCCAGGGGCAGACACAAGGATGGGTTTGTAACGCCCTGAGAGGATAAAAGGCAACTCCGCTCAGCTAATCAGTTCGCCTGTGCATTCTTCTTATTCATTAATGTACCAATAATACATGTATAAGAAAATATGTTACATCATCTTTGCTTATAAGAACCTTAAAAATCAATTCTATTTACCTATTGTCTTGTCATAGGAGGACACAACCACAGCAAGTTGGGAGGTAGGGAGGGCAGCAGTCTCGACCTCTGACATTGACTTGAACTCTGACCTCATGAGGTCAGGGGGCACTGGTATCTGAGGCTTGTCATCAGTCTCCGAGAAGCCCACTCTGCTTTGCTCTGCTGTTGGGCTCATGCTTGGCTGAGCTACAAATCAACACACAAAAAATGAACAATATATTAAGTCTTATTATGTCCTTTGAGATGAGAAAGTTGATGTTAAATGGTCCAAAATATTACATGGGATTGGGTACTTTTGAGAAGGAACCAAGTTAACTAAGAATACAAAGATTGCATGCCTATAATATCTTGAATAAATCTTTTCTGTTTGAAATGAAGACATTAGCTTATGATTGTGATATCTCTTGATACTCAACATCTCTTAAAACAGTCAGAATTCCAGGATTGTTATTTGTTAATTGCATGCTTTATATACAAAGTAAAACTATTTTGAAAGCCAGAATTAATATTAATCATTTAATAAAGTTTTCATATTGTCTGCTGAGAGGCAGAAGGGCATCAATCAACTCATAAAATACTATCACACAGAGTTAACATCCTTCTGGCTCTCAACATTCAATCGATATCTTTACCATTCTGTTGAGTAGCCAGGTAGAGGACCATGAGACGTCTGCTGTGCTGCAGGGCTCTGGCAGTGTAGTTAGACTTCTCCAAAGCATGGCGGAATCCTTCCAGACTGTCATCTATGTCCAAAGGAACACTGGACACCTTGAATGCATCTGATGCTCCTGTGACAGATTAATTTGAGCACATACAAGTGATGAATTTCTCAGGGATGATCAATATAATTAATACTTTAATTCATTCTTTCGATAAAAAAGGATTTATCACCTAAGAAAAGACTCACCCTTTTCCATATCTAATATGCTGATATCAATTTAGAAGTGAGAAAATAACTTTTAAAAGTTCAAATTGTTGACCATTTAAGGTCATGACTAACTATGTCCATGTTGATAGTTTTTCAGGTAATTCTACCTTGAGATGGACAGTGAACTCTTTGAGTTCATTGAGTTCATATTTGCTTTGAAAAAAATAATGCTTCATATATATATATTATTATGTCTTTAAAGTATCATGTTTTCCCCTAAAACAAACTATCATTTGTATTGTAGGAACCAATGTCCATTTACCTAGTCAAAGACTTTGCTCGTTCACATGTGAAAATACAGAGATCTAGCTGCATGCAATTGCAGTTCCACAAACCAGACCTTATCACATATAGTCAATGACTATGTGCTGACAAAGTTTCCAGGGAACATAAGGAACTCCATCTTGTATCAGGTAATGCCCTAGGTTGCCTGCCTTTCTAACCTTCACTCGTCCCTACAGCTGCAAAATTCTATATGAAAGAAAAATATTTGAAGTACCTCCATAGACATGGTGTCCCTCAGGGTCGATCCTACCACCCATGTCCAGAGGCTTCATCATGGTCTCATCAAAGGCTACCCTCAGCTGTATATCCATGTAGTTATCAGCAGTCACCTTGTCCACACCATGCTTCTCAGCAGCAGCCTTGAAGTGGGCCTGGACCGGAGACTCTCCTCCGTAGGCCAGGACCCTGGAGACTAGCTTGCGCTGGGCCTGGACTAAGAGAGGGCTGACTACCTCCGAGTAACGCTCCCTAGAAGAATATTATAAGAACATTATAAGTGATAGATGTACTGTACATAAACCTACATTGTTACTATTATTCCTCCATTTTTCTGTTTCATTTTCCAATGATAAATGTTCAATATAAAGTTTGCCAATGATCTATAAGTGTATATTCACTGTGCATACTTGATTTTAACTGTATAGAGCATGTCAAGTTCTTCAAGACATGCCAGTTTTCTGTACAATGCCAAAGGACAATTTCTTTGATCTACCAGTAATCTAATTTTAATCCTGCTATGCTTGCTCCAGGCTTTATTTCATCAAAGATGCAGTTGGGTTTGTGATTATTTTAGTTTAGGGTTATGGTCAAAAAGATATTAGGTATCCGGTGTAGTCTTTTGAGTCAGGGTTTAAATTTAAGAATTCACTGAGTGTAAGAATTCACCATGGAGCAATTGTCATTAGGGCGTGTGTCATACGCTTGTTTTACTGTCGAATACTTAAACGTTCATTTCATGTTCATATGAATTGAAAAGTGTTTGAGAGGGAAACAGTAGCTTACTGAGTCAGGACATTGAATCTCATAGCCACATCGGCCAGCCTCTCCCACTTCTGTTCATAGTAGAGCATCTCCATGACCCGTAGCACCATACGTCTGATCCAGCGGGAATCTACACTGCTCACATCATCCAGAGGGGATTCAAACTTGAGGCTGGCACCACCTTTCTCATCAGATACAGAACCAACCCAGGTGTTGAGTAGGACATCAGGCTGAGACTCCTTCTTCTGATGACATAAGGAAAGAGATAAGACTTATTTTCTCATGTTAAACAAGATTATACTGTCAAACCTGTCTGAGAGGTCACTTTTCTACAAAGGCCTCCTGTCTATAGTGGTCATACATTGTGTTTCCCTGGAGGAAGAAACATGGAATTAAAATAACTAAAGGCCGCATGTGATTATTTCCTTGACAAAACATTTTGATAAATAAAGCTTTCTTCCTGAACAGCATGTAGAAATTGGTATCTAACAACATTTATTCCATTGAATGTACGGTGTTGCTGATAAAGGCTATCCGGGCTAAACCAAGGGTAATAACTCAAAATTTGCCATTGAAAAAAGGCAAATTGAAGACAGACAGAGAAATTGCATTATGTGAGCTACCATGGGCTCTTTGCAAAAGTGATTTTGTAGTTGTTTAGGTAAGTCCAAGATGTTTGGTCATTTAGTATTCCATGTGTTAACCAAGTATTGTAGAACTCTGAATATAAGATGAAATCAAATGCGTTACTAAACTTAATTAACTTATTCGGTCTGATCTGAGATCTAGAAGGGTTTATGAACTTACTCCAATAATTGGATATACTAAAATCATCAGTGTATGGGACGCACTGACTGGATTACCTTATTCTGCTTATCCGTCTCATTCTGCAGATGGACCAGCATATCAAGCAGACAGTCTACAGCCAAGAAGAAAGGGAACCACACCACTCCTCTCAAGGCATCTACAGTCAGGAGTCCTGCAGAATGACCACCTGAGAAGCAGTAGAGGATGGCTGTGTGGGCACAGTTCCACATGCTACGGCAGGCATTCTGGAGCAAGGACCAGTGGTGACCACGATGGGCTAGTATCTGAAATGCAAAGTTATCACATAGATATGCTTTGAGGTAATATGAACATGAGGGGGAAATTACATTTTTTTCACTTTGGGTTGCAATCGGTTCAAAATCAGGCATTTAAAGGAGTTTATCTATGTATGAGAATTGCTAGTGTGCAATAGGTAAACATTGTGAGAATGTTCTAAACTTATGACCTGCATATTTAACAAGAATTTAAACCCAACACAGCTAAGCTTTTGTCCAAAACCAGCTTTAACAAATTCAACTGAATTGGAAGAATACAGACCATCGAGGGTAACATCACAACAACATTATTCCAGTCAATGCTAAAATATTTACCTAACATAGCCTATAAAACTAATTGAGAATGTAAATGAGAGAATTAGATTTTAAAAAACAGAAGTCAAAACTGAAATCTCAAGGTAATTGCAGGTTTTTTATAACACAATATGCAAATTATGTATGCGATAAACTGATGTTTTCATATACCGGTACTACCAAAATTGCATTAAAAAAGAGAAAAATCAACTTCTTGCTGACATTTCAAACTTTCTACAGATTTGCACAAACTACCAACACATTAAAATGGACAAATCATAAAGAATATTCTGATAAAGATTTCCCACTTACCACAGCTTTCCTCAGATGTTCAAATGTTTTGGTGAGACTATCGATCGTAGCCTCAAGAGTGAAACCACTAATGTCTACCGATGGCTGAATGGCATTGGGACCACTCTTGCCAGTCTCTGTAGATCGGTATGTCTTCATAGTGTCTGATTCCTTGTCATCTGGAGGGCCTGGAAGGACTGGCACAGGCTCTCCTGTAAGCAAGATTAAGCATGCATGTACATGTATGATGTTACATTTAATGATACTTGGTAAGTGATCCTCAAATATACTACTCATGGTGTTTTAACTGGAGATGGTAGTAGAGGGTGGATTTAAAGGGATCGTTTAACAATGTTAAATCTGAGATACATGGCCCTACTTGTTATCAGTGTCTGTGATATGGTGTAATATTGAAGCCCTAAAAAAAAAAATCGCTTCAAAATGATCAAGAAATGCCTCGAAAAAAGGAAAAATCTTTGAGTGATCGGTTTTACCATACTCGTTTTTCCCAATAGACTGTAGTGTTATGAAAACCGTTTGGCAAACGGTTTTCATAATTTGTAATTCCAATCATAAATATCTTGATAATTTTCCAGGGGGGTAATTATCCTAGAACCGACTCAGAGGCCTAAAGCCATACATCCTGTTAACCCTTAAGGCCTATATGAACTTGTCATTTTATTTCTATTCAAGTACTGCAGACATTTAGAATGGATATAACTACAACAAAAAAGCATGTGGAAGATGTATGTTGTACTGTGCATATTGCATGTAGTGTATACATTATAATAGGGGTTATTGTGAATATCTGTAAGTATGGATACTTTCAATCCTTATTGCTCCTAAACAAAAAATATTATATCTCTGAAACTTTTATATGTTTAAGTGAACATGTCAGAGATGACATTTCATGAAAAATGTTGTCAAGGTCACGTGATCCACAAGGTCAATTTTAAGGTCAAATCTTAGGTCAAGAGGTCAAAATACCCCAACATGTACGAATTTTCAAAATGGTGGCAGATTTGGAATCCTCATTGAATACCCTTTCCAACAATACAAATTTTGTGAAGATTGACTCATTAGGTTCCGAATTACAAGGGTTCAAAAGTAGGCCCGCCACCCCCATTTTTGAAAAAAATCTCGAAATTTGGTGGGCCGTATCTCCTAAACCCCTCACCCGATTGACCTAAAATTTGAGATTTGGTGCTGTGAGATCACACTCAACAAGTACACTAAGTTTCATCAAAATCAAAAATGGTCGGGTTAAAACCATTGGGTGAATTGACATGGAATGACCCATAGATATGATCATAATGAATAAAATTATGAAGAAGAAACATTTTCTTACCAACTGAAGCGAGAGCAGCAGCCTCAATACCCGATGGTTGGTTGGTGAGGTATGGATTCATGTCGTATGCATCTATCTGCCTTAGCTGCTGGACGATGGGGTCACTCTGAGAGACGGCATCTCCCTCGCGCGTCGCCGTCCTCGAGGCACCCCCTTCCCATCCTACCACAAGAGTGCTGGCAGTCTCAAAGGTGAACCACTCATTGTCCAGGTAGGAGGACCTA